GGTCCAGTCCCCAGTCTGTCTTCTTGAGAGTCTGACATGACCTCCTCTTGAATCAGGTGTCGCCACCACTGCTGCTGTTTCTCATCTTCTTGGTGCTCTTCCCAGGGTCTCAGTGGCACCTGCATTGACCAGGCTGGGTCATACGGGGTAGGGAGGTCTCCTGCCTGCATCTGGCTCAGCCCCTAAATTGAAAGCTGCTGGGCCTAGGGATCACCCATAGGAATAGCACTGGTCATCATTGTTATTACAGGTAGCATTTATCGAACGAGCCGTCACACTAATCACTTTACATGCAGTGTCCTATTTAGTCCTCACTGTAGTCCTATGAAGTGCAAGGTAGTATTATCTTATTTTACAGACAAGGAAATAAGAAACTGCCAGGAGTTTCACAGGCAGCAAGTACCAGAGCCAGGATTCAGACTAAGGCAGGCTGAGCTCAAAGCCCATACCCTTCTCCTTTTTGCTGCTCTCACCCCCTTGCAAGTGTGGGAGACTCTAAGTGCCTGGAAGTCTCCATGCTGGGCCCAGGCCAAAGCCCTGAAGGTGCCCAGGAAAGGGTGAGCCCTCATCTGAAGTGGTGGAGGAGGAAGAGCATCCTGTGAAGGAAAGAGAAGTGGGGAGCAGGCACCCTGGCAGGGCAGTCTCTCTGTGGAAATGGAAAAATGACACCTCCCAGCTTCTGAGGACAGCTGTGTCCTCCAGGGTCCCAGCTGCACCCTCCAGGGATCTTCCAGAACTTGACTTTCCAAGCCAACCCTGCCTGGGGCCATGGAGGTTTGGTGTGTGTCTGGCTGTCTTGTGAGGAGGAACATGGGGAAATTGTATCCAGTGGTCATCGCCAACAACTGCTTTACTTCATTCGTCCGTCATCCTGAGTGAAATTGCCATGAGTTGTTGGGTGACAGGAGGGCAATGGATGACCAACAGATTTCCACAATCCCAGTTCTTTTTTTTTTTTTGAAACAGAGTCTGGCTCTGTTGCCAGGCTGGAGTGCAGTTATGTAATCTCAGCTCACTGCCACCACCGACCCCCTGGTTCAAGTGATTCTCCTGCCTCAGCCTTCAGAGTAGCTGGGACTACAGGTACATACCACCATGCCCAGCTAATTTTTGTATTTTTAGTAGAGATGGGGTTTCACCATGTTGCCCCAGGCTGGTCTCATCTCTTGAGCTTGTGATCCCCCCACCTTGGCCTCCCAAAGTGCTGGGATTATAGGCATGAGCCACTGTGCCCAGCAGATCCCAGTTTTTAAATTCTCTGAGATCAGCTCCGGGGACTGGCAAGTGCCCCCCGCCTGGGGTCATGGATGGACACCAAGAGCATTAGTAACTCGCAGCAGGCACCCTGCCCACCTCCTCCCCCATGCACCACCAAGCCGCTGTCAGGGAGTAGTGATTTTCTATCACTTGCTGCCTAAGCTAAATTTGCACCAGTGCCCTAGGGGTCAGAGGCTCTGGGTAACGAAGACAGAAACTCCTCAAGCCCGTCCAGTTATCTCTCTCAGCTAGCCCCACCCCTGGAGTTCCCTTAGTCAAGGGCCCATCAGCCCTCAAGCCAGAGCCACTCACAGGCCCTGTGAGCTCACAGCAGCTTTTGCTGCAGTGAAGAGCAGCAGCTCTGAGCTGTTCAGCATCTTTCTAGACTTTTCTTGTAGATGAGTGTACACTGCCTCTCAGCTACTACCCAATCTTTTCCATTGTAATCATACTCCAAACCTTCCCTCCAACTCTTGGGAGATGACCTTGCCTTCTGCTTTTCTGAGAGATAAAAGCCGTAAAAGCTCCTGTTCAAAGCTTTGGCCACCTGAAAATATGCCGTCTCTGGCTAACACCTCCCTGTAGGCTCCACTCCATTTTTCTTGTTCCCCTTTGCTCTCTTAATCATCCACAGTCCCTTAGCAACTTCAATCTCTTCCTCTTCACTGGTTCTTCCTCTTCAGTCTACAAGCTTTTTCAGATCTTTCTTACCCAAGAAGTCCTTCCCTCCACTTAGCCGCCTGTTCCATCCTCCACCTTCCACACTTTCCTTTCCTTTCTTTTTCCTCGAACTTCGGAGGCAATAGTCTCCTTTTACTGCCCTGCCTCCCTTCCCTCCCTATGTATTCCCTAACCTGGTTCTGTCTAGCTCCTGCTCCAGTCGCTTTGCTGGGACTCCCCCTCAAGGTCACTAATGGTCACCAGAATCCCAGTTCTGTGCCTCTTCTTATTCCCAGTTCCCTTCGGTCTCCATGTTGCTGTTGGCACTGTAGGTTGTTTTTCCTGAAACATTCTTCTCCATTGACTTAAGTGAAACTGACCCATCTTGGTTCTGCCATTTCCGAGGAGCAGCAGCTCTGAGTTGCTTAGCAATTCTCTGACTCCCTTGCAAGGTCATTTTCTTTCCCCAGTCCCTGGAAGTAAATGTCCTCTAGTATCCACTCCTTAGGCCTCTTGTCCCTTTAAACACTCCTTTCCCTGACAGTCTCCTAAATCCATATCTCTGTGCCCGCTGATGCAGCAGCATTGCACCTGGACTCTCCCCTTTCACCTCAAATGCTGCAGGTCTAGGACCAACTCCACCACCTCCCTCCAAAACCAGTCACCTCCCACAGCCTTATTCCTGACCTGCTGATGTGAACTCCACCAAGCTTCCAGTTACACAGAACTGAGGTTGTGAAGTCACGGTTGACCCCAGTTGGTTGCCAAACTGCGGCCATTCTGCCTTCCTCGTGTCTTGCAAATTCTTCCCTTTCTTTCCTGAGACCAGCTCCGTATCGCCTCGTGCCTCATGCATGTTGCTTTACTGGGATCTGTTTGTACAGATACCCCCCTAGTTCAGAAATCACTCATGGCTTGAGACCCTCTAAGCCTGGTTCCTACATGCCGGGGGCAGGATGACAAAGAAACAAAAAGCACAGATTTTAGAGGCTGCATTCTGAGACTGCCCTACTAGGTAGTATGATTTCTTTATTAACTAATTAATTTATTTTTGAGATGGAGTCTCACTCTGTCAGCCAGGCTGGAGTATGGTGGCGTAATCTTGACTCCCCACAACCTCCACCTCCCAGGTTCAAGCAATTCTCCTGCCTCAGCCACCTAAGTAGCTAAGATTACAGGCATCTGCCACCATGCCTGGCTAATTTTTAGTAGAGTTGAGGTTTCACCATGTTGGCCAGGCTGGTCTCGAACTCCTGACCTCAGATGATCCACTCACTTCAGCCTCCTATAGTGCTGGGATTACAGGTGTGAGCCACTGCACCTAGCTGCTACTGTGATCTTGAGTGAGGTACTTAAACTTCTTTCGGCTTTGGTTTTCAATCTGCAAAATGAGGATAATAGTCTCTACTTTGGAGGTGGTTGTGCGAATTAACAGTAATATATATAAGTCATGTAAATTGTGTATAATATTGGCACATAGTAGATGTTCAGTACGTGGAAATGGTGATGGTTCTCATCACATCCAAGTTGTCACCCTTGTTTCCTCTTGGTCCCTTGCTTGCCTCCAGTCTTTCTGGCTGACCGCTCTGGGCATTAACCCAGAAGGCAGCAGGCACGCGTGGCTTCCTCTTCCACCAGCTTGCGATGCCCTTTCCTCTACTTCTTTGTTCATCTTAGCATCAAGTTATCTTTTTTAATGGGGAAAGAGACGGTGTTGACCCTGTAGTCCGATCCCTTCATTTACAGCTAAAGAAACTGAGGCCCAGAGAAGTTGAGAGGTGAGACCAAAGCTATGAGGCTTCTTAACTGCGAATCAGAAGCAGGACTCAGGGCCCCGCCACGCAGCCCAGTGTCCTTTCCGCCATCTTCTGTGCCTCTAATTTTAGCCCTACTTTGGTTTTGAAGATATACATCAATTCGGCAAGGGAAATGGTTCCTCTGCTCCATCTTTCCAGCAGATTTCCTTGGGTTACTTAGCTTTTTGGGGGTATAAGTTTCCCCCCCCAATTTCATGTCCAGCACTGTGAGGTAGGGGCCTTCTCCCGACTGCCTGCAAGTGCTTAGGAAAAGCTTTTAGAGCTGACTTGGTTCATGGCTTATGACTCACCTGGCTGTTGGAGGTGAGCTTGGGTCACATGCCTATCTGTGGGGAAGAGCAACGCTGTCAGAAAAGTGGCTTTCAAAGGCTCCTCATTTGAGCAGTGGATGGGGGGAGCATTCCTCAGTCCTGGCCCTGGGACTGGTCTTTGGCATCACTGAGCCCTGGGTTTTTCAAATCCCTGAAAAGCAGGCCCTGGGAATGTTTGATTTGGCCCCTTCTTCCCAGGATGTACAGGGAGAGCACCAGACCTTTCAACCAGGCTGGCAAAGAAGCTACAATCCAAGTAAGACCCTCAGAAAAGGAGGCCAGCAAAGCAGCCAGCCACATGGGGACAGGGATCTGACTTGTTTGAGGGCAGTAAGTGGGCTCAAGAAGAGGTTGTTCAGGGCCTGACATCTGGTAAAGGGACTGTGTGCTGTGTGGGAGTCCTGGGGACAAAAGAGTCACCTGTGACCCAGCCCCTCCCTGGGTACTTCTCATTCTTTCAGAATACAGGGAAATCTCATCCTCTTGATTCTGAAGGCCTGTGATACAGTCCCAAGTAGGAAAGCCAGCTCTGAAATGATCTCAAAACCCAGAAGGTCCTGGGACCAGGAAGAGATGCGTCTGTGGTTGAGGAGAGAAAAGTGGATGACAAGCCACAGGGCAGTTCTCACCCTGCAGAAAGAGAAAGAATGCTGTGCTCACTGGGTCTGCTGCCGCGATCCTTGCTACCAAAAATCAAGCAATAATTTGGCTGATGCACATGGCAGGACAGAAGGCAGGCTGCATCCACCCAGAGCTGCACTAGGTTGGATCCGCAGAGCCAACAGAAGGAAAACCCTGTGCCGTGCAGCAGGCAGTGAGGGCAGAGATGCAGGGAGCAGACGGAGGAGGAGATCACTAAGGAGCTTGGGAGAGAGCCCCTTCACAGGGCTGGGCTGGAATTGGCCAGGGTAGGAGTGAGCATATGATGTGTGATGCTGTTGTGATGCTGTTGCAGAATCATCCGGACCAAAGTTCAGCAGCCTTTCCACCCAACGCCGGATGGGGCTGGGACAGGAGTGACCGCCCCTGGCCACACCATTGGTAAGAGGGCTCAGGGAAGGGGAGAGAGCAGGATCCCACCTAGAGAAAGGCAGGAAATGCAGCTCCACCCCTGGAAACTGCCTGCCCGGTTGAGGTCCAGGGCCCATCCTATTTGCCAATTCCTCTTGCCTGAGCTCCTATCCAAATAGGGTCTCCCTGAAAGATACTGGTTCACTAGGATTGTTCTCTGCCTCCCACCTGTGTCACCTCCCTCTGCCCTGCCTTAGTCAGTCCCTATCCTCTTCCGTCCTCTCCTTTCTCTGTATTTCTCTTCTAGCATTTCTTCTTTTTCTTCTTCCCCTCCTCCTTCCCTCTCCCACCTTCTCCATCATCTTTTGTTTTTATCCGATTCTGTCTCCCTACCTGTGCCCTCTTTCTTTCATATCGGCTTTCTTATTCCATCTTTGTTTAACATTCCATCTTGTTCTTAACATTGTCCTTCTGTGTTCTCCCCTCCCCTCCACTACTTTTCTCCCTCTGCCCTTCCCTCTCTTCTCTCTTCTTAGGTGTAGCTCTAGCTCTGTTCTGTCTCTCTACTTCCTCCTGGCCTCTTTCCCCTTGGCCTGTCTCTCTTGATTGCTCGGTCTCTGTCTCACCCACTCTGTTTCTCTCTGCCTCTCTCCCTCCTCCTCATTCATCGAGCCATGCTCAGGGCCTCTCAAAAACGTGACCCAGGCCTACCAGAACACCTGCTAACACTCCTCCTCTCTCCCCAATGCACACAGACTACCTTCCCTTTGGCCCAGGGAAAAACTTGGTGCTACTGTAGCTATAGATGAGGCCTGGGGATTGAGGGGCTGGGATGTGGTTACAGTTTTTCCTCCTGCCCTCTTGGCAGTTGTCCTCTTCTCTCTTGACCAGAAGGTAATAGAAATGGCTAGTTCCAGCCCTCCGGGAGTTGGCAGGAGCTGTTGTTTACTAGGCCAGTGTTACAGTGTGTGCTGGGAGGGAGGGCTGGGCCAGGCTGTACCTGAGCTGGTCACCGTGGAGTGAATGGGTTCACTAATCTGTGCCTGAAGGGGGAAATTAGGAGCTTCTCAAGTGATTTCAAGTCCAAAAACAGCTGAGAAAGACAAATGCACACTCCTGGGGAACATCGGGACCAGTCTTGTGTCTCCCAGAGAATCAGAGACAGATCTTAGAATGCCACAGACTCTAAATCAGGATTGATAAAGACTCAGCCCAGGAGACTGAGAAAATGAGCTGGGGCCTGATTAGAAGGGTTTGCCCAGCCTCAGGGACTGGACGAGCTATGCAAGGGGGCATCCTAGGAGCTGTGCTCTCTAGAGGATCATGGAGACAGCTTTGGTGTTTCCTGGGCCTGTACTCCATCCATCTTTAGGAGAGTGAGTTTGAGAACCCCAGTGAAATCACAGGTCTGCAGAGAAGGCCTGGGGTTGACTGGGCACCACTTACCTCAGGGCTGGACAGAAGTGAATAATAGCCTGTAAATGGCAACGCAATCCCCTCTAAAATAGACCTCAGAGGAAATAGAGGAGCATGGACTCCTCATCCCTCCTTATGTCCTCTGCTTCTCTCTGCACCCCCCAGCCTTGGGGCTTTGGCCTACGATCACAACTGCCATCCTGATGGCATTTCCTCCTTCCTCTTATCTAGTTCCCAGCACGGCCTCCCCTCCTGTTTCCAGCGCCTCCAATGACCCAGTGGGATCCTACTCCATCAATGGGATCCTGGGGATTCCTCGCTCCAACGGTGAGAAGAGGAAACGTGATGAAGGTAGGGAGGAGGGAAGAGGTGTGGCTTCCCCTTTGCATGCTTTGTCCTTGGACTCCAAGCTCCGGTTTCTGCCCGGCCTTGCAGCTGCTCTGCTGTGAGATCAATTTTAGTAGCAAACCTCAGGTCCCCTCACTGCCCTGCTGGCTTCTGGAGAGGGGGAGGGCGGCTGCTGGTGGGGCCACCAGCTTCACCATCTGCTCAGCGGTCCCGGCTGCCTCACCTGCCACTGGGGCTCACCCTATTGATCCCTGTGGGATGCCAGGAGGAGAAGCAAGAGCCATTTACCTTGGGAAGGTTTTGGAGTTGGGGGAACAGCTGGTCTCTGACCTGAGGATGAAAGGCCAACTTACCTTGTCCTTACCTGATCCCAATCTGTCCAGAGGTGAGGGAGTGATATCACGTGCAGCCGACCCTGGTGTCCTTTCTCTGTAACACGTGTCCACTGCCCCCGGTTCAAACTTCACAGGGAGCTGGACATAGGACCCCTCTCTCCTCTTCTTCTCTACGAGTAGAGATGCCACTGCAAATCCGCCAGGCCTCTCCCTCACCTCCCTGGAATGCCTGAAGGTGTTGCCAGGCTGTTAGGCAGAGTGTCTATGGGGAAGGAAGAGGAAGAACAGGGAAGAAAAGAATTAAGGGGGAGAATAGTGGCGACGAGCCTGGGACAAAGTGTTTTTCAAATGTCGTGACATCGGGGGTCCTTTGGTGACCATCTGGTTCTCTTCTGATGCATGAAGCTGGGCCACAGGGCTGGCAGACCCAGACCAACAGAGACACCAGTGGCTCAGGCCGGCTTCCTTCCCCCATTTTCTCATGGCCCTGCTGGGGAAGGGGTAACCTCCTGGCCTTTGGAGGATTTTAAAGATATCTTCCAGAAAAGAGGCAGAAGCCTCAAACAATGAGCATAAAGGGGTGACCATATATCCCAATAGCCCAGCACAGTCCCAATTAATGGGTGACCGTATATCCCAATAGCCCAGCACAGTCCCAAGTCTCTGCATCTTGGCCAGTCAGCATCTCAGCATCTCCCTTTTCTCTCAAAAATGTCCTGTTTGGACAATAAGTTTTGTGGTCATCCTACACATAGACAAACCCTCTGTAGGGAAGCCTAGTGGAGTGAGAAGTGGAGAAAAGGGACACCGCTGAGCTTGCCTGGGCCCAGGGAAGACAGTGCGAGAGGCCTGGCCCCCAGTGGAAGGGACAGCATGAGGGGAGGCCTAGGCCTGGCAAGACCGTGATGACCTGGCGCTGGCCTCCTTCCAGAAGCCCTAATGGCCTCGTTTCACAGGGAAACAGCTTGTCTGGCTCTATTTCTCCTTCTTCCAAAATATCCAAACCCATTTGGCTGCCACAGCCTTTGCCACTCACTAAATTTCATTGTGGTTGTTTTGGCGGCAGCCCCTGATGGGCAGGGGGAGGCTGTGGGAAATGCCTGAGGTCCCAATTCTCCCTGGGGCTCCCCATGCTCAGGCCCCGGCCGAGCTCCCTGTGACCCCGAGTGCTTTGGTAGAATCTGCCTCAAACCCTAAAGGTCTCTCCTTAACCACCAGCCCCTGTGTGTTTTAGGGGGTGAGAGGCCCAGAGGCCCGTGGGAGGCCACAGATGCCCCTCCATACTCTCCCTTTTCAGTCTAAGGCTGTGACAAGGCCACCCTTGTGGCCAGTTATGCCCTCTGCTGTATAGGCTCCTATGGACCAAGAAAGGCTGGGGGTAGGGAGGCACTGGCATGAGGCTGTGGCCACCAGGGCTGCACCTGGCTGGCCCAGAACAGGGTGCTCTTCTGAGCGGCTGATCGCCTTCATTGTTTCTAACCAATTCAGTTCAGTGAATCTTTCCTGCACATCAGCTTCAAGAAAGGCTTGGTACTATAGGATCCCAAAGCAGAACAAGATATGATTCTTGTCCTTAAGGGGCTTACATTCTAGTGGGGCATGTTCAGCATGTGAGCCAGAGAGCAGGTAGGCCCATCAGATACTGTGTTGTGATGGAGGTCTGGACAGCAGGCCATGGGAACCGGGCTGGGGAGGGAGTACACAGCCAGGAAGGTCTGCTCTTTGAGGAGGGGCCTGAGGGATGAAGAGGAGAATGTTCAGAGGCAATGGTAGCCTGAAATTCTATCTATAGACTGAGCCTTGTGATCAGAAGGCCCTTTGGCCAGCAGCTGCAGGGCAGCTTCGGCTGGGATAGAAGGCACAAAGAGATGTGGAGGGCAGTAAGGCTGAGGAGACAGGTTAGGGCCACAGGATAGCAGGCCAGGTCTAGATCAAAGAAAGAGTTTGGGCTTTTTTTTTTTTTTTGAAGGCAGGAGTAGTCTGAGCAGGAAGGGACAGGAGCAGGGATGGGTTTGGGAAGCTCATGCTCCAGCAGTGTGACAGTGATGCCACAGGGACATGTTGCAAGAAGCAGTGGAAGTCTCCAAAGCAAGAGACGATGGGGCCTCTAAGTTTCCTCTGAAACATTTACCTGCTGGACCTAGCCAGGTAGCAAGAAATATCAAAGGCGTCACTCTTTTTTGGGAGGCAGTTCTCCTTCTCCTACTTATACCTCTTGACCAATGCCAGGCCAAAGGGAGCTGTATTTTCCCTGGTGGAGGCCAGCCCTATGAGGGAGACCAGTTTTCCCTGACCTCCCCCTCCAGTCCTGATCCATCAGCCCTGGGTGGGAAGGGAGAGGAGACAGCAAAGGTAGAGAGAGCTGTGGCAGCCCCTCCTCCCCTTTCCCCCACTCTGGATGCTTCTAAGCAGCCAGGCCCGGTTCACATTAGGGAGCAGCTCAGATGATTAAGAATAGGGGAGATAATTATGTGTCAAGATGATGTAGCCCAACTCTGCAGTCAGGCCAAGGTAGCAAAGCAGCTGGCAGGCCAGTCACAGAAGGCAGCCTCGGGCATGGGCTGCAGACACCCAGGTGTGTCCTTCAGTGATTGGGCCAGGACTGCAGCAAAAGAGAACACTGACCTGGGACGGAGGGGTGTTGGGATGGGGCTGGGGATGCTTGTTAACAGATTAGACCCTAGAGGGAGTGGAGGGGTGCATCTCCCTCCAAGAGGACCCTTGAAGACCCTGCCAGACTGGCCCTCCTTTGGCCTCAAGCATGTGGCATCTTCCTAGAATTGTCATACCCCGAGGGCAAGCTGTGAACCTCTTTGTCCTCCAGGAAGCTGCTCCAGCTTCTGCTCTGGGTACAGTTCGGCCTATTCTCCAGCTCTAACAATGTCACAGTGATGGGCATTAGTGAGGACAATCGCTGCAGTGCGCGCTGGCATTATTGGAGACAATTTCAGCAGTAGTTACTGGTGTCCACAGTGATAATGCCCAGAACATTATTGGCATTGGCATTCGGAATATGGACAGCATTATTAGTATCTGCAGCAATCATTTCCATGGGGATATTAGGAAAGGGGAGATCAGCTGTGACTCTGGGGAGAAACTGGCAGTGACTGTGAGCCTGTTTGAGACCCCTTCCCATGCCTTGGCCTTTGAGAGTATGGAACCCCGCCCTGACTTTTCTTTGAGAAATGTGCTGGTCAAGAAGCTTTGACCCTCATCCCAAGAGCCCAGGAGCTCCCAGAATGAGACAGGTAGACAGGCCAGAGGGATGAGGAAGTTACATTCTGAAGCACTCAGAAGACAGGCTGTCCATCAGTCTGAGAAGGTAGGATGCTCATTCGTATCATGCAAAAGTCTTCACTTCTTAGCTGTAATGATGAGTGGGCATATTAGTGCTGGATTCCCTGGGCCCTTTGAAGGGATGCCAATTCCGTGAACACCGTGTGAGCTGGTTTATGTGGCTGGAGGAGAGAGATTCTTGTATTGCTGCATCTACAATCAGGCTGGAAATTGGAAGTCCTTCAACTTCACCCAGTTGCTTTCGACTGGGGCCCAAAACGTTGCTGTTCATCGGTGGTGTTGTTGAAGCACAGAGCAGTTACATAGCTTGTCCGAGAATCCAAATGAAGTCATATGGTGAGAGTCTGCTGACCTTTGTGAGGGAGGTGTGTTGGGATCATCCTTTGAGGTATGGGATTGCAGGGGGCCATGAATTTGCATTCCATTAATTAGGTGCACAATGAATTGTGCCATTGAGCGGTGCCAAGCTGGTGCAGTTGTGCGTTTGCCGGCAGGGCAGGTTGCATGGCTGCAAATGGCCGAGTCCTGTCACTGCCTTTAACGGCTCCCTTCTGCTTTGGATGAAGCCATAACTGTAAGAAGCAGTTTATTTCCTTAGTTAGTTCCCCTCCTAGAGGTCCCCAAGAGTGTTGCTCAGGTTAGACTTGGAGCAAATGAGAGGAGTAAGCTGTGGAAATCAGCAGCACTTGCCTTCTCTAGGAGCCTGGCTTGAGGCAAGAGAAGGCTGCAGAGACTCCCACCAGGAAGGCAGGCACAGGGGAGGAGTGAGCATGCCATCCCTGGAACCGGGCATTGATGGGCAGTGGGGCTCAGTGGGAATAAATGTGGGCTCTGGAGTGAGCACAGCAGAGTCTGAATCCTGGTGCCCCTCCTAGCTGGGCAAGTCACCTTCATTGGCTTAATCTTCTCCTCTGTAAAATGGAGCCCGTAATGGCACTTCCTTCCTGGGAACGGTGGAGAGGATTTCATGAGATCATGAATTTAGTGTTGAGCTGACTTCATCTTGGAAGATGCATCCTTGTGTATCTGGGAAAGAAAGCCTAATTGGCAGGTTTATGTTTCATGGGGAAATGAAGTTGTGTCAGGAAGAAATTTATTTGGGCACAGGCTCCCTAACCTTGGTGCGGCTCCTTGTAACTAGAGCAGACTTGAGTGGATGCTGGGATTGGCTAACCTGGATGGGACCGGTGCAGTGGAGGAAAGGCATCCTCATACGGGGGATTGGGAGGACCTTTGTCCATTTCTATCTGTTCATTTACTCTGTGGTTACCCATTTGGGCCACGTGTCATCTTTCAGCCTCCACAGGCATTTTAGATGTATATAAATAAATAGAAGATCCTCTTCTTTTTCTGACATGCAGGCATCTTTCC